CGTGCAGGTTATGGAGAAGAGCGTTAGGGTTGTAACGAATCCGGTGCAGTCCACCCCTCTTTCCGAGTATCTCGGCATGTCCGAAACTAAACCAAAAGACTGGTGTGAGACGCTTAACAAACTGGCACCGCTTTCAACGAGGTATCTCATTCTGTTGCAAGACGCTCATCAAAGTCAGCTTTTACATCTTTCTTCCTTTTGGGTGCCCTTCCATTTTTGTGAACACTATGGAAAAATCTGCCCGACTTGATGGTACTTTAATGGTTTCTACCTCATCCAAACCTCATTATTCACCTCCAACTAGCAATGAGCGAACTCAACAGGTATGCTTTGGCTTCTGTTATTTCATTAATCCCTCACTATGTAATTCGTTTTGTATTTCCAAAAGTGTTTAGATGATTTTGATTTAGATAGTGCAACTGCTTTTGCGGGAATGCCTCCACGGAGAATGGCCACCTGAAAGTAGCGTACCTTTGGGACATACCAGAATGGTAAGTCAAGCTAAATTTTTGAAAAGAGTTTATAGCTTAGTGTTTATCGCTCCTCCGACCATAATATTTGCTAATCGGGACAGAAGAGCTGATCGCACAAGAACTTTTTATCGTTAGATCTTCACAGTCTGTTTTCAGATCAGTCGGGGTGCCATCTTGAGCCTCTTAGCTGAACTGGTCAAATCCTATCCCGGCGTAGCATCACTAATCTGCGAGGCTAAAGAAGATGGGCAAAGTGTTATTCATCAGTTGATAGAACATTTTATTGATGGAACACAGGATAAGGTATCCGACTTTTTCCTGCAAGAAAATTCACTTTTTAAGAGTTTCGTTAACCTTTTTTAGGATACCCTCGGCTCTCTAAAGACTCTTATCTCGATTTTGGCTGCCTGTAATCATTCTCCAAAAGCTCAAGAATCGCTGGTGTCAGACATGAAGGCTTCTCTTGTTTCTATTGGAAGTTCGTCGCTTTCTTCTACAGCTATTTGTAGTAAGGTATGTTTACGAAAAAATCTTTACATACCATACCAATCCATCTTTGTGACTTTTCGAGTTATGAGCGTTCCAGTAGTCACTTATCTATTCGTTGTACAATAGTTTTCTAGCAATAAATTTAGGTCAGCGAGCTATGTTCTTTGTTG